CCAAAGTCACCCAGTTGGCTCCATGGCTGAGCGGGGACTAGAACCCAGATTGTCTGAGTCCCAGTCCCATGCTCTTAACCACTACACCACACTGGCTCTTAAGGTTACTGCGAGCATTCTTGTCTGGGTGAATTATAGCATGTTGCTAGAACTAAATTAATTTTGGAACACAGTGTTGTCACCCTCAGTGCTTCTGTGGGAGAGTCTTCCCCTTTTAGTTCACTCAACACTATGCCTTCTTTGTTATGCAGAGCAACACATCCTCCAGTATGCCATTCCCCTTTCTTCCTATCAAATTTATATCCAGAGCTGAAAGTATCATACTGGTTCTCTCCATTCCACCAGGTTTTTTCTAATGCTCATTAGTTATATCTAAGTTCTCTTTTAAAACCAGGAATTACAGCTCTCATATTTTGGCACAACAGTTTTTAGCGTTTGAATAGAGAGTTGGACATGACTGGACTTAATATCATGTGGAATCTGTTACTGTTTACCTATAGGTAGTTTCTCTTATACTCTGACATGCACATCTTCTGCTTATGGCATCTATCTGATCCATTTGGGCAATTGGACACATTTGCATTTTCATCTCTTAGGGATGATTCAGCCTGAACTGGCTGCTTCCCAACAACTATCAACCTTCCCTCACATTTACTTTTAAAGCCTTTGTGCTCTTTTTTATGTTTGGCATCAGCAATCTGGTTCCATTATGGTTGAAGTGGAGCCCATCCATCCTGTACAGGGCCTGCTTGTCCCAAAAGTTCCCCAGAGCCTTTCCTGTCATCTCATTCACATGTTGAGACTCCTTGGCTTTGCCTGTCTATCTGGCCCTGCACGTATAAGAGAAAAAGCCATCTTGGTACTTCTGGATTTCAGCCTTCTATGTAGCAACATCAGTTTTGCTTCCAGGACATCATGATTACATTCCACACAAAACTGGCACTAGGACCATGGCTACTGATCACACCCCAGTGTTATCTACAAAACTGTCTAGATAATGCATACGTATAACCTTTGCTTCAGGCAGGCAGTTTACTATGCAGTGTATATCTGCATCATAAACCCAGCTAGCTATGTGTCTAATGATCAAATCCTCCACTACCACAAGCCCCCAGACGCACATTCTCAGTATGAGAGAATATTTACTTTGAAGAATGTGTTCTGTCAAAGAGATCATTTCCCTTTTCTTCAGAATGATGCTTTCCCTTCCCAAGACCCCTGTTCTCCGTGACCATAGAGGAGCTGTCACCAGTGATCGAGACACTGCTGTTAGGTGTTCACCAACCTCTTTGCGTCATAGTTTCTCCAGGTCAGCAATCTTGGCGCCAAGGGAGCTCACTCAAAGCACACACCCATGATTTTTATCCAGCTGGCAGATTGTCAAATACGTGGCATTCAGTGCTATACACTGGATTGCCCATGCACTTCTGCTATGTTTCCAGTATCATAACTTTATTATATCATTATTGTTATGATTGGGTTTGCTTACCTGGAAAATAACCTGCTTATTAGGAGAAATGAAGGAATGCATGTATAATTTTTATCTATGCACATATTTATTTGCTGAAAAGGGAAGGAGGACTTGACTGCCCTGGCCTATTCATGTTGCTAAATTCATATCGGGTACTTAACTTCTGTGCTGATGTTTTGTCACAGGGATTAAGATGCTACACCATGGGGCTCTTTGCACTGGGAGAGGTGGCTTCCTTACAATCCTGCCTGCTTACATAACTGTAGCTACCTTGGCCCAATGGCTGCTGGATCCATTCTGATCAGATGGCCTCATTTGAAAGGCAGGGCTGGGCTGCGGCTAAAACTACTGGTCTGCATTAGCTTCTTGTGAGTGGGAATGTAGGTCATTTGAGGCCCCTGGGATAAGTTTTCTGTTCAGGGGGAATTACATATTAGTCATTTTAATTACATATTAGTCAATAGGTTGTCAGAGGAGATAACAGACAGTGGATAGATGATTTGGGAAGCAATGTAGTTTGTAAGAATGGGTCAAACTTGGGATGAGTTTATTGGTGAGCTTTAGTTTCTGAACTGGTATGTAGGACCTGAGCCTTTATTCTTTTGTTTATAAGCAGACTCTTCCACTGGTTTGACTTGTACAGTGGCTTTTGCCATTATAGCAATAAAGCCATTGCTTTTATTGGTCATTTCTAAGCTTGGGTTAGTTTAAATATATGTCTGAGGTTTTCTTCAACCACTTGGGAAGTTTTTAGAAGAAGGCTGCAAGAGCTATGAGTTGCTGCTGGATTTGCCCCCTAGGATATATAGCTCCTAACTGTATCTTTGTAGAAGGGTATCTTTCCAAGATTAAATTTCTTTTACTGGGTTCTTGCTTTGGATTCAGCTGATAATTTATAAGTTTTAAATGATTATCTGGGGTAAATTAATAGATCATTAAGTAGTAAGTATGTAAATAGCACTGACTTCATATGGGTGCTTAACATGCTTGTGTGCTGATGCTTTGTCACTGGAGCTGAGATGCTTCATCACGAGGGCTCCTCATGTACACAGCTGAAGCATCTTCTCCTGAATAACCAGTGTAGAAGAATTGCCACATGGTGGCAGCACAAGTTGAGTGAAGAGGCCTCTGTGGGTTAATTATGTCACTTAAACTGCCCCTTACCCATCCAAATTACTTTTTTTTCTCTTTCAGTTCAACTTCTTAAACTGTTTTGCCTCTTTGTTCTACATTGCATTTGTCATGTTTGATATGAAACTTTTGAGACAGGTGAGTTTTCTGCTAAGCATTTTGTTAAAACAGGTGTTTTAAAAGCTATTTTGTTTAAAAAGCTTTTAAAGCACAATTAAATGGAGAATTTATGATTTTCTGCATAATTATAAACTTAACTAAACAGATTTCTATTTTAAAACCTTCAGTATTTCTATTATTCTGTATTAAACTGATTTAGATAGTATTTGCTGATTAGAAAATACATTCCAGCATTGATCTAGGCCAGTGGTTCTAGTTCTGAACTGTTTGGACAAGAAAGTGCTTAAGACTGTTTTAACTGAAGAGCACATTCCTGTCATTTGAAATAATGATTCCATGTTTGATTATGTACTGTATAGTTTGCTTTAGAACACATTGCAGTAACTTATCTACTTCTTTCAGTGTTGTAATATGACAGCTGTATCCTTTCTTATCACAAGTTTGAGTTACTCTAGGACTTGTTGTTGCAAAGGATGTTTTGAGTGGTTTGTTAACCCTTTATTAGTAAAGAACTTTCCAAGGAAATTGTACATCTCATATTTGCATTCATTCCTGCTTTTAAATAGAGATTATGAACATTTTCTATAATCAATGCCACTGAGGTATATTAAAATGTATATAGCAAACAGAAGGCGTATACAATGTAAATGTAAGTTTATTTGGTATTACAGATGAGGTATTAATAGGGTAATGGTAGGCTTATTGAAAACAGATGCAATATTTTAAAAAATGATATGCTTTTTAATGGTTTGCTTTGCATAATTTTCTTAAAGAGCTTGGCAACTTTGCTGATAACATCACAAATCCTTAATCAGTGCGTAGAAGCTATACTGCCTTATTGGCTTCAAAAGAGACGGAATAAGCGGGTAAAGAAAAAAGTGAAAGCATTGGAAATAGATGCTGATCTTTCTTTACTTGAACAAGTCAATCTGGAAAAGGGAATGGATACCTATTTGGTAAGCTGACTCTTTCTGTCCTTGGGTTTGAGATTTAAATTTATCAGACCTGAAAATCAATCAGATTTTAAATACTTGTGAAGTATATTTGAATTCTGAATGGAATTTTTAAGATAGGACCTCAAATATTTAGAGAGTAACAATTGCCAAGTGGGTTCAATTCAGAGTCCCATCTGGCTTAGCTCAATCTTGTTTTCGAACTGATGTTGAGCAGGGAGCTCTGGTGTACAGATTCTCTCATGCTTCAAGTGAGTGCCCTTCCTACATCCCAGTTCCCTGAGAGATCAGTGCATACAAAGGGAACCTTTGGACAGATCAGTGGGGTAGAAATGTGGTGGTGGTGGTGGTGGTGGTGGTGGTGGTGGTGGTGGTGATGATGATATAATCAATAATTGAACTTCATTGAAGAGAAATGAGAACCACCAGTTGGTGCCTTTACTCTCCTTGATTTAATCTTGCACGTTCCACTTTCCACCTCCACTTTTCACTTTTAATTTGTCTAGTTAAGCTAGGAAAATAAACAGTACTGTCAGGATGTATAAAATTGAGTTTATTTTCATATTTATATGACAAGTGTTTGCCTTGGGAGCGAATGTGGTGTAGTGGTTAAGAGTGAGGGACTGGAACTTGCGGTGGCGCCCAATCTATGGAAGGCGCTCCCCAGAGAGGTCCGCCTGGTGCCGTCGTTATTTGTTTTTCGGCGCCAGGCAAAGACCTTTTTATTTAAGCGTCATTTTAATTGTTAACAGTATTTGCTTATTTTATCTGGCCAGGGCGACTTCTTTTATATTGTTATTTATTTTATATTGTTATTTTATATTTTATATTGTTACTATTGTAATTTTTATTATGTTGTAAGCCGCCCCGAGGCTTCGGCGAATGGGGTGGCATATAAATGTTT